AAAACACTTCCGCCCCTCTTTTCTAGCAAAACCGAAAGGATAATTCTACTTAGTTAGGTTTATATTCCCTAAGCGCGGCCGAAGGCCGGATACGCAGAAAGAAGTTCTGCGCCAAAATACTTCCGCCCCTCTTTCCCGGCAATACAGAAAGGATAATTCTACTTAGTAAGGGTTATATTTCCTAAACGCGGCCGATGGGCGCCTACGCAGAAAGAAGTTCTGCGTAAAAATATTTGCGATTGTTCAGATACGATTTACACCCTATTTAACTATGGTATTTACATATATGTAATAGTGAACCCGTATGGCGTTAAAACACCAAAATTGAAGTTAGCTTTTTCAAAAGGTGAAACCCTATTCAAAAACATCAAAAAATATTCCTAATTATTCATCTAAACCATTTCTGAGTGATAGAGGTCTCGCATGAAGTCAGTTTTCATTCCATCAAATCTCAAATCACCCTGTACCGCTAAAAAGGTTCTAACTTCTAAAGTAAAACCTTACTGCACGTCTATGTGGATCGTAGTTTTCTAATGTGACGTCTCATTTTGTAAATTCGAAATAACGGTGCAGATGTGATGACCTTCAAAAAAATAGGTGGCAACCCCAATTAAAAATATTATCAGCTAAAAGCTTTCTGAAAACTCTTTCGTTTGACACTAATATTTCGATATTTTATTTATGTAGGTTGTGTATAAGTAAAACAAATTGCACTTTTCAAACAGGTGGCAGCCCCGTCACAAGTATGTATTATCAAAATAAAATCTATTTATGTTGTTGTTGTAGCGGCTACAACAACCCCGCCCAGATCGGCTGATATCTCAGTCGTTGTTGTCGAGTTCCACTAACGGCAGCCCCAAGAAGCGTGCAGGCTCTATGGGGTCGGTCCATAGAGACAACGCCGTTAGGGTTGTGGGGTTTTTTTTGGGCATGCGAAGAGATGTTTCGAGTCGTGAGGGGTCTCTTCGCATGCCGGACATTCGTTCGGCACATCCGCATTTAACCTACTCAGGTAGGAATTTAGCCTGCTGCAGTAGCCAGAGCGAAGTTGGGCAATTGTTGTTCTGGTCTCCCGAGGCAGATGGAGCTCCGTCGGGTCTATGTCCGGTGTTTGTGTACCTAGAACGGCATTCACAGGGATTGAGTCTACATAACTCGAGACTGCGTCCCTGTGAATGCCGTTCAGGGCCTGTCTGTGAGCTGAGGGGTCCAGAGGATGCTTAATGAACCTCTGGACTTGGTCCGTCAGTTCATACAGATGCCTCCTGACGTGCCTCGGCGAGGGCTCCTCTGCAAGCAGCTGTCTATTTGGGTGGCCACATCTGTGGCTCCCAACAAGGAACTGCTTGCAGAGCATCGTGTTGTGCTCCCTAAATGGGACCATTTTCGCCTCATCGTGAAGGTGGTGTTCTGTACCGTCTGTAGCCTTGTATGTAGTCAGCAACGTTTCTTTGTCTTTGCCCCAAATACTGCCGGCTAGCGACTTGGGAACCTTGTTGCGGCTCTGTACTTTATTGACAATAGCTGGTTCTACGTACCGGAATGACTCGGGTTTTACTCGAGCAAGGGCTGTTGTTTCGGCGATCTAACCCCGTTTAGGTCGGCGAAGTATCTCAGAAAATCTATTTATCGTCTGGGATTGTTGTACATTTCTGAATATACTGATGAATTAAGTTGAATTTGACTTTTTAAGCACATGGCAACTCGCCTAAATAAAGTTCAGAAATAAATTATTATCAAACCCATTTCGATTGATACCCATCTTTTGAAAATCCATGTATCTTAATAAATAATTTGAATTTAATTTTTTCAATTCTGATGTCCTTAAAGATTCCAAGTGCTCAATTTAAAGATTGTTAAACTCGTACGTGTGATACCCATATTTTAAAATTTTATGTAACTTATGTATAATTAAACTAAATACGACTTTCAAAACAGGTGGCAACCCATTTCCAAACTACTACCTTCTTAAACCTTTTTAGCCCTTTAATTTGACACCAAATTTTTTGAATCGAACGAATGGTACAGATCTGATGACCTGGACAAAAAATCCCTTCGCGTATTATATATGCAATTAAAATTCGTTTTTTTATCAGAACTTGCTTTAGCATAAATTTTATCAATAAAGAATATTTTTGTGTATCAAAAGATATTTTTGTTACCTTTCTAATGATATCCTTAAAATATCTTTAATGGTTTACGAGATATTAAAGTTTAAAAATTCCCTTTTTTGGCCCTTTGAACTTGAATAAAACTTACAGTTTTGTTTCCCCCAAAAAAGTATGTTGTTATAATCAGTATAAATTCCTCTTTGGAGCCCTTTTTTGAGAAGTATACATATGTATGTACGTGGTCTGCCGTTGTTCCGGAACTTATTGCGAGCGGAAATCTTACGGCTACTAAAGCTCTCCCATCATTCGAGATCAAGTGCTCCTTGGTTTTCGAGTGTGTAGAGGCTTAATGCTCTGGCTGAGGTTAATGATATTCAACTGATTTGGGTACCAGGGCACATGGGGGTATGAAGAAGCTTATCAGTTGGCGAGAACGGCCGCAGCCTCGACCCCGATATGATCTGAGCCCTTCCTTATAGTGGGACCCAACATTATAAAGGAAATGCTGAGAAAGGAAAATACCTAACCGAGGTAACTGCATTGGCGTAACACCACGAGTCTAAGCCAGGCAAAGCATATTAGGAGGGTACAATATGAAAAGATATAGGTTATTCATGGATATCCCCAAGGAGAAACTATGAATCATTGCAAGGCCATTGCAGGCCAATAGGGCGCTTGTATAAATAAGGAATCCTCTCCAGTGACCTGTATCGCTTTTGCGAAGCTGCCAAGGAGACTCCTTTACACATTTTGAATTACTTCTCTATATTATTAAACATGCCATATGTATGTATGTATGACATTCATACCTCTAAAGATTGATTTATTTTAACTTTTTAGAATTGAAGTGATTCATAAAAATTTCAGAATTGGTATCAATTTGAAGTAAAGTTGCTTGCAAATTTATAGATTTTATTATCAGAAAGTATTTTTGGGCAAATCGGTGATGGGGGTATTAAATATACATATCGTCACCTGAAATGCAAAAAGTGTCTATTATTTAAATTTCGTTTTCATAAAATGATGTGGGGATTTATGTAGGTACATATGTATGTAATTCGATGAAATCCATCATATAAATCAAAAAGTGAATTTTGAATTTCTTAATAGTTACGACCATGATAAAAACATAGCAAGGTAGAACCGTTCTCTCATTTTGTCGGCCAAGATTTTTTTTTGTAGTTTGCCAGCATTTTAAAATCATATAAAATTGAAAATAAAAAATTGAAATTGTTATAAATTGTTGTTGCTTGAGATTGAAAATGAAAATGTGTGTGTGAGTTTGTGAGTATATTTAAAAATTAAAATGTTTGGAAACGTCAAGAATTTTAAAAGTAACTCTCAGCGGTTCTACCTTACTATATTTTTATCATGGTTACGACCATGATAAAAACATAGCAAGGTAGAACCGTTCTCTCTATTTGTCGGCCATGATTTTTTTCTGAAGTTTGCCAACATTTTAAAATCATATAAAAGTGAAAATAAAAAATTGAAATTGTTCGAAATTGTTGTTGCTTGAGATTGGAAATGAAAATTAAATTTTTGGAAACGTCAAGAATTTTAAAAATGACTCTCAGCGGTTCTACCTTACTATATTTTGATCATGGTTACGACTTTTTGCATTTCAACGATGATGTTTATTACTTTTTCAGGGGACTATATATACACAAATGCCAGAATTTTCGATTCTAAATGTAAACATCGACAAATTAAAAGTATTTCAATATGTACAATTTCATAAAACTTGGAACTTTTAACAAGTTTTACGTTTTCCTAATTTTTTGGCTATTTCTGTCTTTGAGTATTGCAGGTCCAATGAGTATTAACTCAACTGAGAACTTTTTTTATACAAGGCTGTGCGTGAACATACATATGTAAGTATTCTTTTAGTACTTGCGTCTAATATTTACCGAACAGTATGTATGACTAGTATCCAGGCGAAATCATTTCGTCCGACACCATCCACTAAGTGGCACACACTCAATTCAAAACTGAAACCCCAAAACTAAACCACGATATGTGCAACAATAGAAACAGTTCTCCGCAGCGACCGACACCTATTCACTAACTTGCAACTAAACAGGAGTCGCCCCCATTCAAATAACACATTGAACATACACCACACCTTATGGCCGTTACAAGGTGCTGTTGCACTCCTCCAACCACCCACTCATGTCGGCATCTATAGTAGATATGGCGACTCATAAGCACATACATATGTATGTATGTACGAGCGTACACCATACGTATGTACATCCAATGATACATCTGAATATGTTGTTTGGCCTGCTCCATGGCCTCCTTCAACCGCCAGCTTCGCTTTAGAGATCTATTCGTATTTGCTCCTGATGCGCTTCGTGCATAAATTAATCAGCACAAACGAAAGTACCCGACAGGCTTCACAATTGGGAGGCATACAAGACGAGGCTAAACACCAAACAGAAGAACGCAACAACGAAGATGAACACAAAGCGCAGATGAAGAAAAAAGGACGTTCTGAAAACTGCACAACCCAGCACTGGGACTCGACGCGACAGCAAAGGGGGTGTCCCATAAATTTGGGACTCCGCTGACGTTGGCCATGGACCATTCGTTCGTTTGTTGGTGTTAATTGCCAACGAACGCATTGAGAAAATATGAACAGCTGAACTTACACGAAGAAAATGCAATTGACACAATTTCTACAGTACCATTTGAATCCGGTTATACTTTTAATATGTATTATTTACTTCAAAAAAACAAAATGCTTGTATAAATATACACACATTCGCATCTCAATATCTTTTCAGTTGGCACTTTAGGGTTTTTTCCTGCAAATTCCTACTGCACTCCACCAACATGGCGATAGGTTTACATTTTCAGATTGGTATACAATTTTTCCAACTTTACCTTGAATGAAATTAAAGGCAAGCACAGCAAAAACATACATTATCGCACACTTTACACAATTTCCTTTAACTCACAAATAGTTTATTTATATTTTCAACTAATTAGCGTACACGATTTCAAAGTAAAAGGACTAAATCTATCTCTTGTCCTATTTTTTAGCACACTCGCCCGAATATTTCTTCTTCCAACTGGACTCTGCAAAAAGCAACCACAAACAAGTGCTGCCGGATCAATTTAGAATGAATTTCGATAAGTCAACTCATTTGACTGCAGATTTTTAATAGTTTTCATGTACTGTAATAAATTTTCAAATTTCAGGTATTTTCCCTTTACACGAAAATTAAATTAAATTTGAAAGAATTACTTGAAATATGTAAAACTAATTAAAAATTGTTCAAAGCTCAAAGTGTGGTAGCACTAAAGAAAATATTCTGATTGGATGCAACAATCAGAGCTGCCGTTTTCACTCCTTTCGGACTGTTTCACTCCTTTTTAACCCGAACAGTACGCAGTGATCGGATTTACAAAAATTCTGTGTAAAATTTGGAAAACTGTGGTAGATTTCAATAAAATCTGATAGATCTCAGGTTTTGGATCAAACTTAATAAGACACTAATAAAAAAAAAATTAGTATAATAAAGTGCAAGATTGAAGTTGCTAAAAATGGCGTTGAGTTTTGCAATTTTTTTCATTAACAGTGTAAAGCAGTTCCTTCCATATCAAGATATTTTTCGAATATATTTTGAGAGATATCTGCAACCTTGCGGAGTGCTGCCAGCTTTGCTTTTTATAACATCACGATATAGCGAACAAATGTGGAATGTTCTAAAAACCGCTACTTGGGATTTGCCGATTTTGACAATCCTCATGTAAAAGTAAACAACGCCTCAGAAACATTAGAAGCACTAAAATTTGCTAATCGCCGTTTTTTAACATTTTCGCCATTAATTCTTTTTATAAATCAAATTATTTTGTAATTTAATACAATCTGTCGAAAAATTTATTATTGAGAAAATTTACTATTTTACAGTTTGTTTTATCCTCTCATTCGGCTTTGTTTACTTTTACTAAAAAATTCGTTGAACTTTCCTTGATTTTGTATAAAGTTTTAAACTTTGATTTAAGTGTATAGTGTTTTTTTTTAATACCGTGAAACATATATTTGTAAAAAATAATTTGTTAATAGCTTGTTAATATTTAAAACACAATAGGTGCACGCAGATACATATCTACATATATGTATGCAGGTAAGTGTATGTTTATAACACACATGAGTTTTACATACTTTGGCAAACGTTTTTTCCTTGTCACTCCGAAAAACCCAACACGTTCCACTTTTTGGCTCATTTCTATCCGCTCGAAAATGATAAAACGGCAACACTGCCAACATCTCAGCGCGATGAATTTCAGCGATTCACCAATGAACTGCCTGGCTGTCAGAGCAGAAGAATTCATTGCCTCAGCTGAGAAATTACAGCTGTTAAATAATGCATTTCCGTTGCAATATGCATTTACATACTTCCGAAAACTTTATCAGCCCGATACTGAATAGAAACTTTGAACTTGAATTTTGGCAGATACAAGTGCATACATAAATATGAATGTTTGTGTATATGTACACTATAGAGCAAAGTACATGGCGGTTTTTGTTAAGTATGTAGGTATTTCGTCTATTGTTTGAACTTTATCTGATTTTTTTTTGGGTTTGCAGTTTAATAGCCTGTTAAATTTTACTGTAATAAAGTGCAATTTTAAGCGGCTGAAAAATTGGGTTGATTTTTAATCATATTTTTTTTTTTGCCGACTGCCTTTGCGGGTTTTTTCATACAACAAATGCAGTTTATAAAAACTGGCGTTGATTTTTAAAATTTTTTTTTTAGCAAACGGTCTTGCCCATTTTGTTCTATATTAGGAAAGAATGTGCAAAAAGCCGCCAACAAAAAAGAGTAAATATTTCAAATCAACGAAATTTTTAGCCGCTTAAAACTTTGTACTTTGTTGTACTAAAATTTAACAGGCTATAGAACTACATACCCAAAAATTTTGTAAAAATTCAGATTCATAAAATGTAAAAAAATATATTTTAAAAGCAAACTTTCATTTAACATGTACAATCAAAGGAATAATATAAAATAGTGTAACAAAAACTTTTTAAGCAAGAAAATTTTTTAAAACTGTACTAAAGTTAATAAAATAAAATAAGTTTAGCTTTCGTTAAAGTTACTAAAAGCCAAATAGTGAAAGGAATTGTTCAAACTCTAATGAAAACTACTAACAATATGCATTGATTAACTTCATTTATAAATAGTTTTTCAATATAGTTTTGAAATAGGGCGCTCTTCAATCAAATTCTAAAGTAAAATTTTTTCACAATTTAAAATGACATAAATCGTATCATTGACACCTTTTATCCCCATTTCCATCCGGATTCAGACCCTATCACAGCTGCTCTACTGCAATGGTAAAGATACTTGATGACATTAGAATACTGTTCGACAAGAACCACTTAACTCTACTATGTTTGTGGATTTCTCTAAAGCCTTTGATTCAGTTAGCCATGAACTACTGTGCTTTAAATTAAAAAACTACTTTGGGTTTGGAGAGTCAGCAGTAAAGCTGATGCGTAGCTATCTGAAAGAGAGGTCTCAGCGTGTCAAGGTTGGATCTCAAATTTCTGAACAAAGGACTTTTTTCACGGGTGCCCCACGCCAGCTCTATATGTCAGGTCCTCTTGAGGACTCAGCTAATTTGTGCGCAAGCTTCAACAGAGAACTGATGTCTATAAGGTCCTGGGCACAGTTAAATGGTCTTCGTCTTAATTGTGAAAAGTGTTTTGTTTTACCTATTTGTTAGAAACGTCTTAACCTAGCAACTATTCCATCGTTACACATTGGTGGCAAACCAATTAAATTTGTGTCAAAAGTAACTAACCTTGGGTTTATTATCAACACTGGCCTTACCTACATTGACCATGTGAATTCAACTGTAGGCAAAGTCTATAATACTTTAAGGAATTTACGAATGTCTGCTCCGTTCCCACCGATAGAAATCAGACGTAAACTCGCAGTCCAACTTATAATGCCAATTATCTGTTATTTGCTACCGTTTTATATTTTTTAAAGTAGTAAAAAACGTAATTTTTGGTAGTATTTTGACATTTTAGGGAGTAGACCCCAAATTTCTTAAAAATCTTTTAAGCCTAACTTACAGCTTCTTATAGGTTTAAAAGAAGTAGAGTGAGATGGAAATTATTGGAGCAGAAATCTAGACGTGGTTCCAATGTCCAAGGATAGTACCCAACCTTCGGTGCTCCAAGCCGACAGGGAGACAGCATAATGGCAAATAGGTGGAGGGGCTTTGAACCAAATGCGCGCAAGTCATTGGGCAGCATTCAAACTAAGTACCTCTAAAGTAGGCATACTACTACTTTAAATAGTCGTAAGTTACAGGTCCCACGGGATTTCCTGCTGATTTGGTTACAAAGGACTCAGGTCACGTATTTCTAAGCCCGCAACCAGTTGCAACACTCAGTAATGACTGGGAGGCTTCGAGGGGTTACTTCATTAAGCAAATCGGATGATTGACAACTTTTGGAATTCTTAAGTGGTCACTTCCCGAGGCACAAATCACCTCCGCAAGTACGGTATATGTACTCGTAGTATAGTCAAAGAGTATAACTCGCCAACAAGCTTTTTAGGCGGTCAGCGCTTTTCAGGCTTTCAGCGCTCTTTCAGCTGTAAGTTTCATCTTACGGCTTGAGCGCCAAAAACCACAACGCAACTTTATCATACCGTGAGAGAAAAACTCTGGCAGTGTTCAATGTGACATCGTTTGAGTTACTTTAGCCGTCATCGATTCGCCACTCCTCGCTCGCTATGTTTGAGTTCCGGTCGCTTAAAGAAGAATTTTGCATGTGAAAGCAACAACAAAGTTAGCTAGCACGGATAGACGATAGCGAGTTTGGTTGTACCTCATTGAGTTCGTTCGTTTCGCCACTCGCTAACTGTTGGCGAATCGATGACGGCTTTAATAAATTTTAACAATAAAGTAAACTACATATCGCTCATTTACTTCAATATTGTCACAAACAAAAAATTACAAATATTGAGCTGGGTATGCAGACATTACCGCTCTATCTTTGCTTCTATGTTGTGAACAAATTTCATAGCAAAATAGTAGTATAATCGCACCTTGGGGAGTACGGGAGTATGAATAACAAAATAGTAGTAAAAAACTCCCATATTAGTGCTCTCGGCAGCACTGCTCCTCGTCCATAACCTTAGCAAGGTCAGTTATCCGCCAGTGATAGCGATGACACCATGTTACTCCTGCCCTATACTTACAAGTATATCTCCAATATAAAGGTAAATTTAAATAGTCCAGCAAAGTTCTGCTTCCGTTTTCCGCTTCAACAGCCAGCCCACTTCCCATTCATGCATACAATTATTCATTCATGAAAACCGTGTCTACATGAAAAAAAAAACGCCAATGACTGACTAAATTTTGACGTGTTGAAAGCAACAACAAATCATCGTCACACGAAGTATAAAAACCGCTAAGCCAAAACGATTAAGGGCTGAACGGGGCGAGGTTAACCTTTGAGTAATTTAATTTAATCGCTCCTTCAAAATAGATAAATATTATATTATCTGTGGCTTTGTAAAAGCTGTACACGCATAAGGTATGCGCACGTATGTACATAAATGTGCATGTACATTTTATAGGAGTATGTTTAAAGGTTAATTTGTTTGTATGTAAATACATACATACATACACACACACTTTAAGGGAGCTAACTATATACATAGTTAGTTCAATGTCCAAAGGAGGGATGAAGCTTCTGGTCAGGAGACTAAAAACCACACTGAACACCTTTAAACAAATATACTGAAAGCAAAGCTAAACATTGTTCCTATCGTTATAACGTGTAACGTTAAACAATCTCAAATAAAGCTATTAGGGAATGCTTGGCGGACTTAATTGCATGCACTTTTAATGTAACTGTCCTCTTAAAAACCCACAAGACCGATGTCGAATTACACGTTAACCTAGAACTAGCTTCTCGTTAGAAGCATAATGGTTTAAGGATATGTGAGAAAACAATTTGAGGAAGCATTCTTTGTGCATAAAAACTTTATGGCGTGCGAGTGAACTTTTTTATAAGAGCAAAATACTCAATCTTGCCTATACCATTGTAATCTTATATTATTTGTAAAAAGTTGTATTCATACATATGTACATCGCTAAAACCCCACCTACACTTACGAGCTTGTTGATACGCCACTGTTCAGATTAGTTAACGTGTTGACATGCAAACTTGTTGACAACTCGCATTCAATCTTGGAGGCATTTTAAGTTGCATTGAGTACGCTATTTTCAAGTTCTTTTATTCGTTTTTATTTAATTCTAAATTAGTTTACCTTAGGGCCGTTAATTTATCCGTTTTAAAGTATAGTTAGATCATTAGTTAAATTTAGCTGCACAAATTTATATTAACAGCTCTTTATGTAAATTATTTTAACTTAATTGAATATATTTAATTTAATTTTATTTCATGAAAGTTAGCATTATTTTAATTTAACTTATGTGTGTAATTTAATTTAATAATTATTATAATTTAATAATTAAATTGCAGTTAATATAAATTGGTTTAATTTAATTTTATGTAACTTTATTCAATTTAGTTCAATTTCGTTTCATTGAGTATAATTTTATTTTACTTTTAATTTAATTTGTCGTTAAACTTCATATAATTTATATTATTTAATTTTAAATAAATTTGACTTATGATATTTTTATTGAGCTTTGTACCACGATTGTTTATTAGGAAAAATTGAAAAAGCAACAAAGTCTAAGCGGTAGAAGTTATAGGACTATTTCGGAGATCACCACATCTCCACATCAGACTTCTTTTTTCTACACTTCAGCGGGGAAGTCCTGCTGCTGCTGTGGTGATCTCCGAAATAGTGCTATAACTTCTACCGCTTAGACTTTGTTGCTTTTTCAATTTTTCCTAATAAACAATCGTGGTACAAAGCTCAATAAAAATATTAAAAATAAAATGTTAACAAGCCACAATAACATTGACAAATACAAATTTTACTTAGCTTTATTTTATTTAATGTATGTAATTAAATTTAGTTTGATTTAAATTGATTTAATTCAACTTAAATTAATGTTATGTGTTTTACTTCAACTAATGTTATTTTATTTTATTTAAACTAGTTTTATTTATTTAAATTAATTTTATTGCACTTTAATCTATTTATTAGTTTCATTAATTTCACAAACTCTACCATGCTTGAAATACCCCAAGTAGCGTATTGACTGTTCAAATCCAAATAATGCCCATGCATCCATATAAACATATATACACACATACATACATACTTCTGTAAACACCCTGCAAAAAGTGGGACTAGGTTAAATACTAGTACAGGACCACGGTACCTTGTAACCAACACTAGTAACGAAAATGGTCCAAATATATGGAGAAAATATGGTTACATTAACATTGCGATGTTAATGGACCTGACCACCTCTGGTCGAAGGCTGCATAACATGGGACCACCTAGACAACTACTCCTTTTGGACCATGGCACATTCGGCAAGCGAATCATATTGCCGATGGGCCACGAAGAGGTGGTGCTCAACACATATATCAGTTTTTTACATTTTAAGTGGGCCAAGTAAGCGTAACAAGTTACTAGTATAAGACCTGGTCCTTTTGCACATACTTTAAAACTACGACCAAGTGGACCTGGTCCTCAAATTTTTGTAGGGCACGTTTACACATACACATACATATATACATACTTGTTCAATGCACCAAAGATCGAAATAACCCAGCCAGCAAAAGTTCGAAAATGGAAAAAACAACAATTGTAATATATCTAATTGTAATTCCTTACGAATATTAGTGTTAATGTTTGATAGTAGATTTACATTTAGGCATTGTTTGCAAATCAAGTAAAAGCTACGCACTCGACTTAATGACATTAAATATCCGTCGTCGAATTGTGCGAAGAATTATCTCATGTTATTATGCGCTCCGTACCACGCTACAATTAGGAGAAGTCTCCGGGAATTTCCAACCTAACCTACGAGATTCATATTAGCTAAAACTGACCTACCATCATTAGACGAAAGAGCCCCATATAATGTCAAAAGACTCATACCAATCTCATACCCCAAAGACATTTCTCCACGATGCAGGGAAAGACTCCGGCATAGTTCGAAACCAAAGGGCTAGAAAATCTGCAATTGAAAGATGTGTTGAAGCCGCAAAATGTTGGATGTTTGTTCGTTCGCCCCCGTGGATTAGCTTTCGTAATACGCGAGTTATCTCGTCTCCCAAAAAATAGCACCCTTCCGTCTCTCTTCCGTAAGTCCTTCCTTCAACTGGCGCATACGTTCCGATATACGGAATGGAAATTCATTTACACTGATGGGTCCAAAGCTTTAATCACCATCGCATTTGCAGTGCCAGATGAAGAAAAGCAGACAATTGGCACGAATGTTCTGCATCATGGCTGTTCCGTGTTCACATCCGAGGCTGTGGCAATTTCGAAGCTGTTAAATTTGTAATGGAAACAAAAGGCAAATACATAAGGGCTATTCGCGATTCGGTGCATAAGAGCTGACAAATTTATGCAATTGCAGAAATATGCCATGGATTGTGAGCTACCTTTATTAAACTGTCATGGTAAAACTTTTTATGCTCTGGATTTTCGGTATTGCAAATTTGTCAAGCCATGACAAATGCAAATGCGTGTAAATTGTTTGTGTATTGCAAATAATTTGCAATACAAATTTGCAATGCAATAATGCTAGGCCATTTGCACCGGATCACGAATAGCCCTATAGTAACCTCTTCCAGCCTCTCTTCAATTGCATCAATCGTGAACGTTCGAAAACAAAATCATTTGGTTTCAAATATATATAAGAAATTTGCTATTGCAATGCGAGAAGAGAATAAAACTGATGTGGCATAAATGGAAACGAAGCCGCCGATCGATGAGCAAAGTTAGCCACCGAAGAACCCCTAATTGTATCAAGATGGATCCTGAAAGAAGACATTTTAAGGCAGATCGAGTCAGATACGGCATAAGAGGGAGAAAGCTTAACTGGATCAACTTCCAACATCATTACTCTAACATCAACCGAGTAGGCAGAAGACCACATCTCCCTCACGACGAGTGATGTAATGATTTAAAAGCGTTCATCCGCCTAAGGATTGGACATACATTGTTAACCCACAGTCATATATTCAAAAGACTAACTCCACCTTAGTGCTGATACTGCGGGGTATGCGAGCTTGAGAGCGTGAGAACAATCTGCTTCGACAAAATCAATCCTTCAAACCTACTACAACACATAACGAAAGAAAAGATCAAATTGATTAAGAAGTTTTTAAAGAGTTGTGTTCTAAAAAAATGCATTTGAGACTTTCAAATCGAATATGTATAATAATTAGTTTAAGTCAGTTTACCTTTAGTCTGAAGTTGTAACTGTATATTTTGGTTAAGAGATCCTAAGGCCTATACTATGTGAGTGGATTGATCTCTCGCTTTAAAATAAAAAAATACAATTACTGGTTTCAAATAACATCATAATTTTTGAGCGATTTTCCGGATACGAAAATGAAAGAAATTGTGGTGGTTTTCCGTTCTTTGAACGTTTTTGGATACGTAAGTTAACGAAAAATGTAATCGTTTTCTGTTCGTTTCCGAATACGGAAAAATTTACGAGACCGCACTGTCGGCAAAATTTATGTTTTACTGCTGGCTGGGAAGCGCTGCGCTTATTTGGTGCAGTTAATTTCAAATCTAATTTAAATGTGAATGAATAGCTGTTGTTGTCCGGAGACTACTTACCTACATAGTTTTAGCAGTGGTTGTTGTTAGTTGTTTTTTTTTTCAACGATTTATTTGCCCATTATTTAAAAGGAGCCACGAACACGAATCAACCAATTATGAACGAAAATCGGGCGAACTATTTACTTCAAAACACCTGTCAGTCATAGTCGGTAAACAACGTACAGCACTCGTTATCCTCTCGCCAGCGGAAATGTGCATAGTGAATAACTAATTTTCTCTTAGCATCCGCTTCAGGTTTGGGATGTTGATCTTTTGCTAGCAAAGAATGAAGGCAGTATAAAAAAAAAAAAACAAATACTTCTTAGAGATGACATCGAAAGTGACAAATGTCTCAGCTTCACAAGCAACAGCTTTAAAGGGTGTTGTACGCAATAGCAGTTATGTAATACCCGGCTTATACGATCTTAGTGTCGAGGACACAAATTGGGTGCTGACGTCATCATTCATCATTTTCACAATGCAAACTGGTAAGGTTTGGAGCAAAAAATTTATTCGATATACATGCATATGTTCATACGAGTACATAAAAATTTGGAGATAAAATAATAAAATTTCAATATAAATTTGGAAATATAAAAGTATTGAACGTTTTAAAATCAATATTCCAAATGAGTAGTCAACTTGCAAACAGCGTTATGTGATTTAATAATAGTAAGCCACAAATTAAAAAAAAACGTCTACAAGAACAAGCACCATCCAAATTGTATAATAACAATAAAAAACAAAATCGCAGTGCGGTACTTTTTGCAAATTTTATATATGAAAATTTAATATTGCGAGTTTTGAAACAGTAACTTTTACAATAGCTAGCTTTTTTTAGCTTTTCACGTTCTCTCTTCCAAGAAGGTTGGTCTGCTTCTTTTTTAAGACGTCTTCCACTAGGCACCGAAACCACCACGTTTTCTTGCAATTCAGAAGGTGGAGAGTTTTGAAAGTGTATAAATACATGCATAAGTATTATAGCGACTTTTGCAAGAGTAGTTAACATTTAATGCTATTTTTTCAGAACATATAAGGATTTTGCACTGTATTGTTAGTGAACATGAAACTATTTTAAATACTGGTACGTTACCCACCAAAAACTAAAAATTTAAAAAAAATTTACGTAGCGCACTTTGCAAGTTGGCTACTCAAATGTTCATTTAGCAGCATAATTTAAAAAAGGCAAACACTTTGATATTTTGAGGTTATTCTTTATTTCATGGTCCTGATCTGAAATAAAGCTGCACCCGAATACCCTACGAACGCCAAATAGATTTTTTAGTGATACGAATATAAATATTTACATATTTTATTGCCGCTTCGCCATGAGTCATCGATAACTTAACAAGCTTTGCTTCGAAGAAGTCTATGTAGACTTTTTCACCGACTTGGGAAAAAGGAGAAAAGCTATCAATTCATGGTTTAGGTTGCCGGATAACTTTGGACCAAGTGAACTGTTTTTATCGAAAAAGTGGTACCTCAATGGTGGTCCCATATTTATTTGGTTTATTTCTTATTGGAATTCAGCGGCACTCCAAAATTTTTACATGAACATTGATTTCGGTTGAAGTTTTCGTGATTTCCGTTCCAAAGGTCGATTTTAAGCTACAATTTGAATGTATAAGTAGATCCCGATCTTCGAATCCACGATATGTATTTCCATCTGTAAATGTGACTGTTTCGATAAATATGTAATTGCATATGTCTGTCAAATTCACAGTATTTAATTAACTGTTCAAAATCCCGTTCTTTGAAAAGGAAATAAAACTAAAGATGATCCTATCTGTATGTCAGATGAAAATAGAAACATTTCCATTTCGGATGAACGTGCATCTGCTTGGTACAGAAAAAAATCGAATTTGGCTTTTCAAGATATGTTGGCATTTCCATATGTAAAACGTGGCATGTACACATGCAAATACATATCGTGTACGAACACTTTTAGCAAACTGCTCAAAATTCACTCGGAGTGCACAGTCCCCCAAATCCTATTCCTACACATATTTCAACTATCAAGAATATATTGGTATGTGGTCAGTCTTTACAATGACAATATGCCAAGATCAGGGTTTGAAAATGCTGTAATATTTTTATTTAATTTGCTTTTGCTGTGCTTTGACTTCGGCATGTATGATATCGAAAGCAAAGCAAAAGCAATTCAGAAAAAAGCAAATGCTTTGGCTGCCGTTTTGCTATGAAATTTCGAAAGCAAATTGTGGAAGCACAAAGACAGCGCAGCAGCAGCAAATCAACAGCAATTTGATTATAAATTTGCTGCGAAGCATCGAATTGGCAGAAATAGAGGATATTATATGTATGCGTGCGCAAATCCACTAGTCGCTTACCCTGATAAGCTTTGCACTGATGGCGGAGTTAATATGTACTTAGATAATATACCACGCTGCAAAAGCGTCATGTGCACAACACAGCCAAGCAGATAACAGCACAGCAAAAGCACTATCACAGCAAATCGAAAGCAATAAAATTGTTTAAATAAACTGCCGATAAAAAAACAAAATAAACTTTTCAAAGTTACAGCAAAATCAAAGCAGTTCGAACCGAAATCGAAAATTTCAAAGCTAAGCAAAAGCAAAAATAGTAATGCCGTTGCTGCTTTGCTGACAGTTTTTCAAACCCTGGCCAAGATCGTCCAGATCGTCAAAGAAGTAGACACAAGCTGAAAACCTGAAAAACGCTCAACACAAATGAAAAGAAAACCACTTAAAACTTCTCTCATTGTGGAAAGTCATGAGGAAATCTTTTAAACATTTGGCCTTTATCATTTTGGGCAAGAAACGATGAATTTGTTCGGTTTTATTTGTGGTGTATTTCTAGTGGATGGAAAAATAAGCCTAATCGGCGACTAAAATTTACGAGTAATAAAATTTACACACCTCTCATGCAACTGCATGCACATCTTTATTGTACTCTCAGCCAAAATAACGGTTTCAAACATACTAAGAAAACCACAGAGTAAGGACCTTTAATGACTTAGAATAATGATAAATGGACTTGGGGTAGCCAAGAAGAATATATTAGCCTTAGTCATAGAGAATAATCGTAAAGTTTAGAGGTGTACATATGTAGCTAAGCGATGCGGAATAGTAGGGTTTCAATGAATGCAGCTACAAATGCTTATCTTTACTAAATTCCTACACTTACGTCCTCGTTTACGCACCTTAGCCAACGTGAGCAACACTGAAATCCACAGCGTCTGCTTACCATGAGGACTAGTTGCAAGCGAGAGTCTGTCGTAAGGCAAGCGGTTCGCTAATAGACAATGATTTGAAGTCCGGACCTTAATGGTCCTCAATCAAAGTGAGATTTTTCGAACACCTCGCTTATTTGTGCCCATGCCCGAACGGAAGAGAAGATCGAGGCGTCTTAACTATAAGCGCTGTCGTCACCACGATATAAAAATGGTTTTAGGCAATTTCAATGCCAGGGTAGGCAGGAAAGGAATCTTTGATCCCACCGTCTGCAGCACCAAGTTGTAGCATAAATACAAGAATTCATCAGGCTATGGTGAAATTGATAAGCTTGTGGGCGAAAAGCTGCAGGCAAGATGTGAGTGGATCGATCGACTACCTACCAGAGGATTTACAACATTCAAAAATATATTAAAGGCGAATTCATCGTTCTAGCTCAGAACTTCCCTTCCACGTGGTTGTTGTTGTGTTTCTCTGATCAAAGTTAAAAAAAAATGAAGAAAAATAGTGGCTCATTAAAATTTAACCGATGAAAACTCCCAACTAGCTAAATCCTACAATGTATATATACATCGTTTTAAATGTCTATAAATCCTCCTTTCAAAACTTCTTCGATTTTTTAAATCGGATGGGAAATGGTCAAGCTATTAATAGATAAGTGCATCAAGTATTAAAATAATGGTTTTTTGCTATAAAAAAATTGGAGGGTTCTAGAACTATACCGGACCTATTTCCATGTTGTGCTCGACTATGCCTTCAACCTACACTACGTTTTGTTTCGGGTGCATTTCATGACTTTTTTGTAGCACCGTGTAATTGGCACTTACACATATCGCACACGATCTTCAAAAGTGACACAACTCAAAGTTTGCCATTTTAGAAATTATGCACAAAAAATGCACACAGAGCCTTTATTTACCTTTTAGTAATTGCTGGAGTAAAATCTTATTATAATTTGTTGAAAAAACCTAAGGTAAAGTCCTCTTGCCAATATGATGAGCATGTGCTAAGAAATAGGTTTTCGCATTTTCTGGCGAACGTGTAATTTTTAGTTGTGTCACTTTTGAAGATCGCGTGAGATATGTTAGTGTTAGGCCGAGCTTGTACTTCCTACTTCAAACGCATTTCTTTTTATTCTTTTTTTTTTGATTTTTTCATCATTTCAAACTTTCTTTTTTCTCCCCACAGGCTTTGGCATGCTAGAGTCAGGTTGTGTGTCAATTAAGAATGAGGTGAACATAATGATGAAGAACGTCATTGACATTGTATTGGGTGGCTTCACTTATTGGCTCTTCGGCTATGGTATGAGCTATGGACGTGGACCGCTATCGAATCCATTCATAGCGGTTGGAGATTTTCTGCTCGACCCACCGGTGGGCGATCCTTTGATGGGACAAATTTTCGCCGCCTTTCTCTTTCAGCTGTCCTTCGCTACGACAGCAACAACAATTGTTAGTGGCGCTATGGCGGAGAGGTGCGTTTATTAATTTTATATTAATTTTTATGCACTCACTTATACATATATTTATTAGACTGACCCAATTTTATACAATGACGCTATATTTTGAGGCTGATAGCTAAAAACTTTCGAATACTTGTGAAAACTCATCTGAACAAGTCTGGTTGCGAAATTCAAATATTAACCCAATTCGAGTCTCTGGTTTGTAAGATTTTTGGCTACCAAGTAATATTTTAGAGCGTATTGAAGGAGACGTCAAGGGTAGATTTTGTAGAAAATTTTCGCGCTTCCAGGCTAAATATATGTTTTCGGGTTCGCTGACTTGGTCAGATGAATTTATACAAGTATTCGAAAGTTTTAGCTATCAGCAAAAAAAAAAAAATAACGACATTGGCCAAAATTGGGTCAGTCTAATATTTCGTATGCTTATACGTACGCGATAAATATTGTGGCGAATGTTCGAAATCTAATATGCATACTGAACTGAGAACGATCTCATAACCAACCTTAGGTTTCCAACCAGGGTTGCCACTTTGGTAAATTACCAAAATTGGTAGAAAAAATTTGGGTTGGTAAAAATACATATAATTTTTTTTTTCATTTTGGTAGTTTTTTGTTAGAGGATTTTGTTTGAAAAACAAGTAAAACTCTTCACACCCGCTTTATATTTTGTAGTTACCTTTATATTATAAATTTCTCTACAAAAGTATAGTCAACTTTATTGCATTAATTTTCGAACGCTTGCGTTAATAATAATAATAGATTGGCGCTTACACATATGTTAGTGTTTGGCCGAGCTTCTCCTCCGATTTGTGGCGTGCGCGTTGATGTTGTCACACAAAGGGGAGGGACCTACACTTTGACGCCCACTCCGAACGGCGATCGTATTTTTATGAGAAGCTGTTTTTCATCGCAGAAATACACTCCGGAGGTTTGCCATATTCTGCCGAGGGGCGACCACTGTTAAGAAAAAAATTGTTTTCTATGTTTTTTTCCGATGTTGCTTTGACCAGGGCTTGAATCCAGGCCCTGGGGAGTGAAAGCGCGCACTTCTTAAAACACTACACAACAGCGGCCGGTTGCATTACGTTTTTTATAAACAAGTAAAACGCGAACATATCGTGCTCCATTTAAAACTCATTTTTCTGGAGCTTTTGATTGCCTAAATATCTTGAATGATTCTTTAAGTAAAAAAAATTGACAGGTATTTAATTGCACACTACTATTGTTGGCAAATTTCAAAAAATAAAACACAAAAGACCGGCGGCAAAAAAAAATATATCAACGGGAATTTTTAGCTGCACATTGTTAGTTATAATAAAATTTAATGGGCTTTGAACCTATATACCCGAAAATGTTCTAAAAATTCAGAATACAAATTTTGGCTAAATTGTTGATTTTTTCTAAATGTTGTATATAGCTTGAATACTTGATTTTTATAGGTTTTGTTAAAGCGCAAACCATATTCTTATACAAAAGAATAGAAAAAAGATTTTACTTGAACAACATTGTGAATACATATGTATTTAAAATATTTTTTTGTCCTGTATTTGTCTATAATACTCCAGTTGAAGTTTTTTCAAATGATTTAATTTCGTTGTTACCTTTGGTTTCATAATTTTCGCATTTGGTTGAAGAAAACCGAGAAGATACCATTAATATGATCTCAGATACCATATCATTAGTTAAATAAAAGCATCCTTAATTTCGACAATGTGAAACGTTTAATTGTTTAATAGTGTAACTTTTGAAGATCGTGTGCGATATGTATTCTCTCGCCCATCCGTACGCACGGAAATTACGTTTCTTTTTTTTTGCATTTCTCAAATGATGTGACCATCAGAATGGGCTGCTTAGATATTTCTACTATTTATAATGTTAATAATGTGCTGTCAAAATGACAGCCCATCTGAAGTATGTTGACTTATACTTGCAACAATGCACTTTTAACATGGACTGGCAGTACTGTAAGACCATCAGAATTGGCAGACAACCTTGAATTAATTTTCAATACAGACCAACCGTCGACCCCACCTCTAAAATTGAGGGATATGTTCGGTATTGAAAAACGAAAAAATATAACTTAAAAAATCGCGAAAGCTCTATCTTTTGGTGGTATTACCAACTTCTGGTTTCGACCGGAAGTTGCTTCACATCAAACAAAAAAGTTAAAGAAAACCGATTTGACAGCTTTTGAGGGTGTCGGAAAAAAATTTACACCCTTGAAATATTCTCATAGTGAGTGTTCAAAATGGCTTCGAAAAAATTGAACTTTTTTTTGATACGGTACCAGGGTTTTCTGGTTAGTTAAGCGAATGCTCTTTCTATGTGCCAAAAGCGCATATGAAATTTCATTGAATAAGTGCGTACATTGTCATCCATAATTAATTGTACCCGTTAGAGATGAGGCGGTGCTAATTGATCGCCAATTACACGCGTAAGGGATAAGTCGAGACTAATTGATCTCCAATAATACCCGTATGAAAAATTTCAACAAATTTTACGCATTATCACCCACGTAAATACTTCATGAACATACATTGGTCATTTCCAAACATATTTTTTGTCCCCCTTTTTAAATTTTATTATGGTGGTAAAAACAAAAATCAACAACAGAAATTTGTTTTATTGTAAGCCGTTTTATTTTGCGAACGGTATATTTGTCCCCGATCAGGTTATTGTAGCTAATTTAATGTCGTTTTTAAGAAAGTGAAAAGATTTTGAATCGAGTTATATTTGAACTAGTAAATTAAATTTAAGTGAAGCCGTGTTAAAAACCACTTTCCAACTTTACAAACATCATCACAAAATTTAAAAGCCAAAGTAGGCGTGGATGAAACTGACGTACAGTGGAATACTTTATCTATATTTACGACTGATAATTACTACATACATTACACTAGCCAATACCCGCTTGCTTTGCGGCGCCTTAAAACACCTTTCGAACTGTTAAACAATCGTTCACAGGCTAACCTAATATTCACGCACGCCGCCAATTTATTTTCAAACATTTCTCATGCACATGCAACTTGTATGAGATCAACCGAAATTG